AATTTTCTATGTGTAACAATTAGAAAAACGTAATAACTCGATATGTTTATTTACTAGCTTTTCACTATGTGGCATCAAATATTTATACTGTATTTTTCCTTTATTTCTATCCGTCTTTTTCGCTAATAAACATCCATCTGTTTCGATCTAGCTTTCCTTATATCTAAAATTTTTAACAAATTTTAGAAACAGATTAATTACTCGTACAAATTTATCCTTTTGCCTTATTTATATACTTAAAAACTTTATCTACTGCTATGCTAATACTACAGAAGAAAGCATAAGAATGGGCCATTGCATGCCCATTGCATTTGCACAAATGTCTCCAGGTCAATGACTGTGTCTGTCATCGGTAATGTTCTTTGTGTATTTATGCACGCCTTCTTGAAATTCCCTTATTCGGAATTTTAAGGTTTGGGTGCGGATCGTAATTTTTAGCATTTGTGTCTTATTTTACAGCATTGTGGCCATCCCTTTTATTATTTTCTGGTTTATTTTATAGTCATCTCTTTCTTTTATATTTTTATCAACAGCATTGTATGTCACTTTACACGGACAGCCATTAAATTTTAACTTATTACTAGTTATTACTTAAGGTAGGTTATTACTTAGTGTACTCTCCGCATAATTGCTTGGTGCACCAAGCGAACAGCTAACTACAGGTGAAGACTAAAAATCAGCAGGGTAAAGACTCAATAGTGTTTACCCTTTTTGTCCACATCACTCAATTGTTTTTTCTATTACTTTTAAGTATTATGTTTATTATTTTTTGTGGAGAAATTAATGTCTTTTAATTTATTTTTTATTTTATTTTATGATTCGAAGATCCCAACTCTAGTTGCTTACTTCTAAATAATAAGTAATTTAGTAATTTCTAGAGCAATACTCTGTGTTTTCTCTCTCTCTATTACAGTCTATCTTCCTACCAATGTACTCATGCCCTTCAAATGTCGTAGAAAGACTAACGATGACATAATCATCTACAAACAGATGACATATTATGTTTCAATGAGCATAGATCAAGCGGTGTTCCAAAACAACAAACAAAGACTTAGAAATTTTGTCTTTCTCTTCACAGCAAACATTGGTAGTAGATATTATGTTCTATTTATGTAATACGCAATGAACAATATCACGTTGTGTAAATAAATTCGCTAAGACTTCAGGCTTTATGCGCTCTTCAACTGAATACCAGTGAAAGGCATATTTGATCTTCATATTAGTGTGAATATTATGAAATTATTATAAATATTTGCAGGATCTATGCGTACTTTACCACCAAAAGTAAGATGTATTAATTGTTATCATTTAAATCCTAATGAATTCGTACGTATGACGTTGGAATCGTAAAAGGCCTACACAGTGTATTGTTGAGGAACGACAAAGAAACCTAAGCTTGAAAATATATTATGTATTTCATCGGATCTAAGTCGCTTATTAGAACAAACAAATATTTACATTAAACAAAGCCATAGAAATAAAACTTTAACTGCTTCCGTGGCCGAATGGTTACCATGCCGAATTGCCACGCAAAGGTCCCCGTACCAGGGGAAATATTTGTATGGCCTACATTTATTTATCTCGTGAGTTTGGGCATAATTTGTGGTTGTCTGTATGTATGTCCATGGCACCTGCGATATAGGGTTTCCTTAGAGTGGGGCTATGTATGGTGGGCTAAAAAAATTCTAATTTCAACAGTGTTCAAAGCTCTACCGTCAAATCACCGTCGAGAGTCGCTAACCAGTGCTAAAACATTTATAAATGTATGAATGATTTTAATTGAATCAAATCATTTATTTCTTTGGACGCATAGGTTACAAAAGCGTTACAAGAACGCATATTGAACTTTTTTATTACTTCTTTAGCGCCATGCAATTTGCCATACAAAATTGTTTTACAATATTTTGTGCGCTAGCGACTTGATAGTCGCAGTGATACACCAAAGTGAACTCATGGATAGAGGCACGCATAACTACACACATCTGTTTCAATTAAAATGTCAAAACATATGAGGTTAATAACCTAAGTATATAAACAACGATACTTAAAAGGATGTCTTGACTAGATCCAATGACGTGAATAAGATCTTTATTTATAAATCTGAGATTTCGTTATCGTTGCTCAGGTTACAATAGATCGTGTTGGTCTTTTATGATATTGGCGACCTACATTCACATCTAGTAGATCTACAGTTACATTTAGTAACAGTAGAGCTCCCTGTGAAAGAGTTCGTCCAGGGAAGTAGTGCAACTGGTAGGCGTGTCACTTACCACCAGGCGCACGACTTGTTCGTCCCGTCGCTTGATATCATAAAAACATCTTTATGACGCACTGAAATTTTGTTCAGGATTTGAATCGTTGTGTGCCCTGAATTTAGTAATTCATAATTATATTTTTTCCGTAATTTCTCCATTTATGTCTTAAGAAAGTGTCATCATTAGAAATGAAATTCATTATCATGCATAAATATAATGGATAATTTACAAAATCTAAATAACCTTTGACCGGACAGTTGGCAAATATTTCTAGCATATAAATTAATAATGGCGAAAGTTTTATATTATATAGCTTTCACGTTCCTTTTGATCGTTGTGGAGTGGCGTAACTTCATCTTTTACGTAAGGATTGAGTACTATCTAGCCACTACCTACTTAACAAATTTAAATTCTAAAACTTTTAGAAGTATGAGATTTCCATTCTTATCATTGCCCTCATTCGATTCTGGGTCATTCTGATTATGGTCATCAAGAATGTTTGGACAACTCTATTTTAAAATAATCATGTTTACAATGACTGTACTAAATTGCGTCACTGGTACAGTCAAGAGCACATGAAGCTTGACACTCAGGCTACTACTAAACGAACTGCATGCGCACAGTCAGTATAATACTACGACATGCAGACGCAACTGACTATATGCAGTCAAGATCGACTGCATGCAGTCGACATTAACTGCAGGCAGTTTTTGCCGCGCGCCTAGCTCTAGAGCTCAGTGTAAAAGTTGACGTCGAGATGGACTCACGGTAGATAGATCCACTATTGTTATGTTGCTATGAAGAAGGTGATTTCTATGTACTGTAAATTAAGTCAACATGAAAACAAATTTACAATTACTTAACAATGTCGATTGCGACTTTTTATATATTAAACAATATATTAAAAGCAAAATAATAATAATAATAATATATTCTCGTAAGAATGTCAATCTATTTTTGATTCCAGGACTATTGTTCACATCGACGCTTGAAGTTGAAGTCTCTACTGCATGCAGTTGAGTTTCGACTGCATGCAGTTAATGCGTGAAGTTTCTATTATTTTTTATACATATTTTTTTTCGTACACCCCGACTCCGTAAGAATTACACAAGAAACAGTCATTTTCATCGTTCGTTATACAATAATACATTTTGTGATACGGATATTTTTGGTATCTCATTGAACAGATTTAAGGTAAGCATCCACCACAAATTATTTAGTAGTAATGATACGGCTTCATGGCCTAGTGGGGAGAGTCTGCTTGCGAAGCCTGTAGTCGTATGTTTACATCCCGGTTAATTAGTTTTGTTTCAATTTTATTCAATTCTAAGCAGTAATTTGTTTAAACACTTCTAAGGTTAACCATTTGCTTTTCGTTCAAAAATTTTTTGTATTCTACTTATATATTTAAGCGCTTTTAGCCTATGTTATTAATATTTAAGTGTTATAATCGGTAGTCGTCTGTAGTATAGTTCAATTTTTTTCTGTATTAACTCATATTGTATTGACCGTTTGTACCAAAATAAATAAAAAAGTCGTTATCAACTTCATGCATTAGCTGCATGTTTGCAGTAAATTCGTTCGCAGCCTTAGACGTAAATTTTATCGACCTTGTCTATATTTATCCTATTAGAAATGACTGAATTTATTGTGATGTTTTTATTTAGCCAATCCTACATCCTTATAGAGATATTCTATTTTTGAACTTGGTTCTTATTGTCTTCGCGATAAGATGTTTTATCTAGTCTTCCGCAGTGTACAGTAGATCAAGGCTACATCATCAAAGTGATTGATGCTATTACATGTTATGATAAAAGCGGTTAGCACTTTGTTTTATCGGCGGTTTTACTGTGCGAGGTGTAAATTCCCTGTACACTTCTTCGGTACAGTCCAAAATTTTTTTTGTAAATTGATAATATTCTTGTTACGCTTGTAACTACATTTCATAACAAACTGATTAATTTGGTTTTCGTACTCATGTGTAAATAATTAGTAAAAACAAAATAATTGAGAACGAACAGTTTTTTTTTTATCAATGCCAGGCCTACTTATGGATTCTAAAAGAGTAATAGAAAAGATAGTTAGAAGTTGGCACGGGTTACGATAGCTGCATTGTAACCGTCTTATTTATTTCCCTTCAATTGTTATACGATACATGTAACCATATACTGTCGTAACTCAACGACAACAAAATTATGGATTTGAGAAAACACGATTTGAAACAAAAAACGGATCGATACCGACATACACATGACAGAATATTTACACACTTTTTATATTCTCGGCTATAAATGAACAATTAAGTATATACATAAAAATAACTACATTATTAGCAATGAGACCCATTCAGTATTTTTTTTTTTCAAATTGTTATTTCCTCGATGTCACAGTTTTGAGTTACGACAGGTTCCATGCGCGATATATAGCAAATATTCTGATATAAAGTTAACTGGATATACTTAATTGTATATGTCATAAATTTGTATTCTTAATCGTATTAAATTTATAAATCATGTAATACTTTTTTCGCTAACATCGAAAAAAATTGTATTATTTGAGATTTTTGGTAAAATAAATCCACAAGATCGAACACAGAAAAATATTTTTTTCTTCTTCCCACCGGGTACAAAAAAAATTCTATATGTTCGATTTTTTTATTAATAATCATAAAAAAATAATATTGTTCGTTATAGGTACGACAGGTAAAAAATAAAACTGATTTACCAGGTAAAAAAATGAACTTACCTCTTAAGGAAGTCAGTATATTCCGCCTGTCTGATGAGACCAGTCCTCATCATAATAGTCTGGAAGCATTGTCGTTCGATGGCCCATAATCGGCAGTCTGTGGCAGCTTTGATCGTGGCTGTTCGTTTACAGTTGTAGAGGATTGCCAGCTCGCCAAAGACCTTCCCTGGTGCCATTGTGCTGAGGTATTTGTTCTCTCTTGAGACTTCCACTCGACCCTCTGAGGAGAGATAGAAAAAATTAGACATTCATCAAGACATGAAAATGTACATAATTATGTGAAATGGTTCAGACCCAGACAATATTCAACTGCCTCCGTGACCGAACGGTTCCGATTCCCGGGCCGGGAGAAATATTTGTATGGCTTAGATTTATTTCTCTGGTAAGGTTGGATGTAATTTGTCGTTGTCTATAGGTGTGGCCATGGCATCCGGAAAATAAGGTTTCCCTGGGGCTAATGGGGGTAATATAATATAATGCAAACACTCATGTCCCCACATGAGTGTTTGCATTATATTATATTACTCCTATGATTACGTAAACACCTAATGTGCATTAAAATAAAAATATAGCATTCAAACTTGGCGCTATATATCCACTAGGACTATAGGTTATCAAGACAAGTATGTTTTTCATACAAAACTTAGAGCGCATTTGCTTGGGTCAAAAGCAAGTATAGTTAATTTTAATGTACATTGGGCATTTAGTGCTTTTCCCATTGTAGTTTGCTGGACCGAAGGTGGCTAAATAAATAAATATTACACAAATATGCGTTGCTCCGAACTTGTGTTATGAAAATCGGAAACAACGACGCTACCATATACACCCAAACCCGAGACAATATTGTAAAGTTATTTTCTACATTGATTTTTTATTAAAATAAACGGACCTCAAAAGTTTGTGGAATTACATCTACTTGTCAAGTTTTATTGAAATCGGTTACCGAAAAGTGCGCGAAACCAGATTCATCCTCTAGTTTGCCACCCTTAGAGGTGGGATATTTTCTTCAAATTTAAACGGGACCAATACCGGGGTATCGTCAGTCCAACAAAAAAGAATCATCAAAATCAGTTCACAAAAGCAGGAGTAACCGTATATATAACATACGTACAACAAAAAAAGAAGTACATTAGAATTGAGAACCTCCTCGTTTTTAAAAGTCGGTTATAAATAGAGATCATGTTTAAGAATCAAATGCGTAGAAGCAGTTTTCATACATTCGGTTTTATTAATTTTTCAAAGTTCATAGTATTAATTTGACGACCTCGGTGGCCCATATACGGTTTGCAATCTGTGCGCTCGATGAGATTCGATTCCCGGTAAAGCTATTTTGGGAAATGATCTGAAACTAATCTGGGTTTTCTAGGAAGTGCCTCAGAGTGAATTTCGATGCTCTAGTACTCATGGTACAAGGAATTCACTGATTTGAACCCGGATTATTGGTGTTGTTGCCACATTATTACAATATTACCATAATTGTTACTACTTCAACCTGCAGAAGCAACTTTCTCGTAATTACGTACTTTTATTATTAATAATATTCAAGTTGATGTACAGGTTATTCGTAAAATACTAACAACCTCGCAGGAGTATATAAGTAACATCATAAACAATAACTTTTGATTACTACCATGAATTTTTACAAATCGTAATATATGTACCAAAAATAAACTTTCAACAATTTGTAGCATTATTTTACTGTTTTTCAGTCTGTATTTGGTAGTAAGGTCAAACGTGGAAACTTCTCCTTCCCTGATGTCCCCTACCCGTGCTTTCTTTTGTTGTCGCGCAAATCTATCACCGTTTAGAGCGATCTATTTTTATTTTTGTACGAAAGAATGTAATGAATTATCAAAAGTCATGGAACAAAATTTGTTGTTTATAATTCTTCTCTTTATTTGTGCTGGCCTTATGTCCCATTTCTTTTGGGGTCGGCTCTCCTAGTCGCACGCGCTACTCCGGGTGCCTTTACGTAAGCTCAGGATCTACACCTATCGTCTTCGAGTCTCTTTGGACGGTTCCAATCCAAATGCTCTGGGGTCTACCTGGTCGTCTTTTGATGGTTTCAGTTTCTAGTGCCGCGATTTTTTTTTGTCATATGGCTATCGTCCCTACGCATTACGTGAAACGTAATCGGTTTTCCCTGAGTTTTTTAAAAGTTGTTGTTTATGATGTTAGTAATATACTCCTGGGAGGTTGTTAGTATTATACAAATAACCCTGTACACCAACTCCAATATAATAATAAAAGTGCTTAATTACGAGAAAGTTGCTACTGCAGGTTGGACACAATTACAATAATATTATAATCATAATATGTTATACTCATAACCACAGCAATAACCTATGTGTACTAGAGCAACAAAATTCACATTGAAGCACTTCCCAGAACACCGAACAGAACTTCTAAACCGAAACGCAGTAATGCTCACATTACTGCTTGGTGGTAGAAATAGGCAAAGTGGCCAGTACTTCCCTGGACGAGCTCGTTCACAAGGAGCTCTACTGTCAGTTATCGTTTTAGTTTATAAGGGTGTAATAACGTAAATGTGATTTTGATAATGAATTTTATTCCGATCACTAATATTGTTTTAAGCATTTTATAGCATATATGAAACTTAGAACGAGTGTTCTTTCCATCTGCCGCTGCCAGTTTAAAAAAGTTCAATTTCAGCCCATTTCCAAAAAGTTATACCGAGAATCATATTACACGTTTCGAAATAAACGTTTAGAATTACATAAAACTCTAATTAGTTAACAACCTCAATGGTTTTAGGTGAGCAATTAGCAAATTTATTAACAGTTCTTATTATATAAGTCATTGAGTAAGTTATCCTGTCACTTAATTGATAACAAACATTCTTATTCGTAAAAAAATATAACACGTGTTTTAAGAACCTTTACGAGCACAAAAACGGAAAGCATCGTGATTCACACAGTTTAAAAAAAACGTTATTTAGAGAACTATAAATAAAAAACCAGTTGTCTGTAATTGGGCCACCACTTCCTAATTTTGTGCCAAGTCTTAAATATGTAGCAGCGAAATGTCTGAGAAATCCGTCTCGTGTTAAGTGACGAAGTCATTTGGTAATTCTCAAACTTTTTTTATGATACCAAGTGACGGGAGGAACAATCGTGTGCCTGGTGGTAAGGGCACAAGGATATAGGAACTTTAAAATGTAAAGATCTGAGGTGTAGGTACTGCCACTGTGCCTGTTACTCTGAGACGTAAGTAGAAAAGTGCCATGTGCCTGTAATTTCACCAGCACCCTTGTCCTTCAAAACCAAAATGCAGTAATGCTCATATTATTGCTTGGCGGTAGAAATAGTTAAGGTGACAATGCTATATCTGAAACTAAACCCACTTTCCTCAAAAAATTCTTTAAAAAAAATAAAAAAATTACAACTTTCGTTCTGCAATTTTCGAGCAGAAACCTCAAACTATCCTCAAGTAAAAAAAATTACAAATTCGTTTGTAATTTTTTTTTATTTGTGGATATTTTGTCGACTGTCTTAGAACGAAAATTGTTTTAAGTGAAGCGTATTCAATGCCTAAAGTTATAGGAAATTGGAGTATAAAGTGATAATTTTCCAAGTAACCTAAGCCTATGACAGAACATTTAAACATCTGATTTCATATGTCTATAAAAGTGACATTCAAGGCTATATTATATTGGTCTTTCGAGTTCCAACCGGTGAGTCATTTAGTGAACGGGCGTGACATTACAAAAATTAACACTATTTCTGGAACCTGTTTCGAATAAGAAGGGTTATTATTTTAAAATGATATTATATTGTTGATGAATTTTATTTCATGGCTTCTATTCTCTTAGGATTTAAAATAAAAATAATATTTTTATTGATGAACGTTCTTCAGGGAAAGCCCTTCCTAATGCGACGTTTACCATAAACATTCGGTTCCTAAGGTGATCTCTGAAAAGTCCTAGGCCTAATTCACACGCCCCCCAATAGCTACCCGCTATTGGGGGGCGTGTGAATTATCCATATAAACTACACTACAAATATATAATTTTTTCCCTTGTGATATTTTGTGTTAATATAAAAAATACGTATTTTAATTATTTTTTGTGATGGTGGGCATTGAATTTTTTTATCTTGCCTAAGCGGGCGGTGTGTCAAACAGTTTGGAAATCTATGCCTAGAACCTGTCTACGTCCAGATATTCAAATCACAGCAACTTAGCAATTTTTGGGAATATTACCTATTTATATACCTGTTTAATAAGTAATAATAATCCATCACATACCATCACAATTAATGGGAGGTGAAAATAGATATAGTAAAAACGGATGACGATGTGATACTTGTAATATTAGGGGTTAAAGTATGAAATTGCCGTTTTATTGCAATAGGTTCTTTGAATTTTCATAGAATCTTCATGGTTTGAGGTTTTCGAATGAAACTTTTTTCAAATGGTTTCTGTGATTTTTTTTTTAAATTTGAAACATTTGAATATCGACTTTCAATTGTTTTTGTTATTCAATTTAGACAAGAAAGATGGATACTGCGAAAATTCGAGTGATTTTTGAATACGAGTTCCGACGCGGAACTAACGCGGCAGAAACAGCCCGCAATATCAATGCTGCGTTTGGAGAGGGGTCTACTAATGAACGCACCGTGCGATTTTGGTTTAAACGCTTTCGTGATGGAAATTTCACAACACAGGTGAATAACGATGAATTAAGAGAGATAGTGGAAGCCGATCCTAGTCAAACTACCCAGGAATTAGCGGCAATTAGCGGCAACCTTACCCACAATATTGACTCACTTGCGTCAAATCAATAAAATAAAAAAATACGAAAAATGGGTGCCTCATGATTTGACCGATCTGCAGAAAGAAACGCGTGTTGAAACTTGTGTTGCCTTGTTGAACCGGTACAGAAATGAAGGAATATTGGATCGAATTGTAACATGTGATGAAAAGTGGATTCTTTATGATAACCGGAAAAGAAAAATGCAATGGCTGACCCCAGGTCAAATGCCACAACAGTGTCCTAAAGCAAAACTTACCAATAAAAAGGTAATGGTAACTGTTTGGTGGTCTCAGCATGGTGTTATTCACTATAGTTTTCTCCGATCTGGTCAAGCAATAACGGCAGATGTCTATTGTGCCGAACTCCGAACCATGTTGACAAAACTAGCAGTAAAACAGCCCCGACATGAATCGATCTTCACCATTATTGCTCCACGACAACGCGAGACCTCACACAGCACGAGAAACCATTTTGACCCTTCAGGAACTGCAGTTAGAAACCATTCGTCATCCTCCGTATTCACCAGACCTTGCTCCAACGGACTACCATTTTTTTCGTGATTTGGACAATTATCTACGTGACAAGAAGTTTTCTTCCCAGGAGGCAGTACAAAATGCTTTCACACAGTTTGTGCAGTCTAGATCGTCGGAGTTCTATCGCAAAGGCATTAATAACCTTCCCATTAGATGGCAGCAATGTATAGATAATAATGGCAACTATTTTGATTAAATAAATTTGTTAAAAATTTAAAAAATAAACAATTTAGATTTTCAGTACAAATCGGCAATTTCATACTTTAACCCCTATTATTAATTGTAAATTGTAATTAATATTATGATGTTTCACTACCACGATTTTGATTTATTTTTGTGAAATTCCTCCCACTAGTATAATATAATTATTAATACAAATATCGGATATAATAAATAGGAATTTTCGATCTAACAGGACTGGAACCGGCGTCTATCATGCCAGGGCGATGTCATACTCTTTTCTTTAAATATCTTACCTAAATATACGTAACACAATAAACAAAAAACACACACCGATGGACAGTGCCGATGTGCATTTCAACAAATATGTAGATCAGTTGTCATTTATTTGTGTCAATCTTTTAGACTAACTTTGAATGGTACTTGTTCAATGTTTGTTTATGTAATTACTCAATACAATCACAGCAAATATTCCGAAAAAACAAGAAACAATTGAAAATTGAAATCAACGAAAACTTCGAACGACAAACACAACGAAAAACACACAAACAGACGAACACATAGGCAGCATAGACAATCAGAATGTTTAGATCATCATTTTATTGTCCTATGAAGTAGTAGACATCGAAAGAACAAGGGGCGAATATAGACCTTATACAAATGCAAATAGACCGTTGATAAAATGTATAAAATCATGTAGGTCAAAATATGAAATTCCCTGAGAAACAATTCGTCCAGGGAAGTACTGCCTCCTTACCTATTTCTGCCGCCAAGTGTAATGAGAACATTATTGCGGTCGGGTTTTGAAGGGTAAGGGTGCTGGTGAAATTACAGGCACATGGGATTTGTCAACTTATGTAACGGGCGCAGTGGCATGCCCTTCAACTTCTCTCATAACTCTCTCTCTTCTTCAACTCATTCAACTTCTGTCAACTTGCAAAAAGTTATTCCTTTGCAGTACAATAGTTTGTTAATCCTTCGTCTCAGGATTGATTTATGAAAACAGGTGACAAGTTTCAAAGAATGTTGCCTCTTTGTGTTTCGGACAATTCATGTGGTACCGTTTTCTCTGATTTATCTTTTATGAACATATGAAGCAATGGTGATAATTCAACTGTAATTCAACTCCAATGTGAAGTGAAAACGACTCCCTGTTATAAGCTAATTGTTAATTAAACGTTACAAGTAAATAGGAAGATTTCTATCAAAGAAAAAGTATTCTTTGTTCCCATCGATCGAGTACTATTCAAATGTCATACAACATCATATTTAAACACGAGACCCTGTCATATTAGAGTTTCTCTGAGTTAAGAGAAATAGGTGTCAATATAGAAAATTAACACGAAGTTAAAAGTGATAAGTGTTTGCTGCTTTCGGTAAGAAAAAACCAGAGCGTTCTGAGAGATTACTATATGACAAAAGTTAGTCACATTTGGATTTGAGATTTTTAAACAAAGAAATCTTTGTTTATAACCACGTAGCCTAAGAAATAATATTTTAGAGTATTAACAAACCATTTAAAAGTAACTCGCTAACAAATTCCATCCATGTGTCCGGTGTTAAACGAGTAAACGAGTTATATTTAGTACTACTTAAAGTGACACAGTAAATGTTTAAAAATTTGCAATGAACGCAAATTACTAGTATCTCTGAGAACGAAAGTGTTTCAAGGCAAGCGCAAACGCTCGAACGCGGGTTAAAGATCACTAAATAACATGCTTATAACTTTATGATCCCTTCGTTAGATGAATTTTATGTAATAGTTTCTAATGGGATATGTGAAAATTCTCCAGCATTTCTGAATATTCTAGGACCAGAAGAAAACCACGCCAGCATAACTATCTATAGTATTATTTTGTTTAAAACTTTACCTTTTCATATGCAATCGTGACACCTAGAGAACTTATTCCTTAATCAAAATTTCATTAGTTTATCGCAATTGGTTTTGTACAGAAGCAGTGCGTAACTAAATAACCAAATTAGTAGCTTGATTACCCTATATTGTTCCGTCCGCTTTTGCAACCAAAACATTGCATTCAATAAATTAATGTCATGATATTAGCTATGGTAATTGAACGTCACATTCACGCGTGATTTAATACTAAAGTAGGTCGAGCCATACTTTAATTGATATACCAGTTTCGGTTTGTTTAGCAGCTGCGTAAGCCTTAAACATGTTAAAGTATTTCGAGCCTTAGTTTTAATGCGGAGACCAAATTTCGTAAGATCCGCAAAGAGCCATGCAAATTACCTTATTTATTTATATATCCTACAAAATCTTCGTCTGTTATATTTATGGGCAAGAAGTTCAGAAATACTTCACAGACCATCGATCATCATCAATGTTGGCATAATCTAAATAGAGACATAATCCTATGATCCATTGCGTCCTCATAATGTGACGTCTGAATGCTACTTTTAACTTAGAATAAGTATATTTAAATTATGCTATAACCGATTATTGCTAGAGAAAACATTCTTTTTACCTGCGTTTCCACTCTGTGGATGTTTCTCCAAGGACTTGTTGGCTTCATCTTCTAAACGGGTAACATCTAATAATATTCCAGCATCTAGAGTTGAATCGGTTGCATTACTATCTCTCTGACAGAGATTTCCGGTTCTCCTTTTTCGTAAACCATACGTGTGCACCGGAACTATCAACTTCGGTCTCGGTATTGAGAAGTCCGAATCCGACCCACTTGATGAACTTTTAGCACTTCGCGAATAAACACCATTCCCATTAGGCACTCGTTCCTCACTAATACGTTCCTTTGGAGAACCCATTTTTAAAATGTCGTTATATCTATCATATCTATCGTCACTTTTAACTCTTACTGTATTATATAATTTTCCGTACTTATCACGTTTGATATGTTTCGCAACACCGTTTGTAGTCCGATAGTCACTTTCTGTTCCTAAATCGATGGAATGAAACCCGTTGCTGATCACAGGGGCAGGTTTTTGATGGCCATTAAACATTTCGTACTGCATTAATGTCAGTTGTTCACTTGGCGATAGATTCCTTTTCGGTTGCGTAACAGTAACACCATTGTAAGGTTCACTTTTAGGTTGGACAACATCAAGATAGCCACGAAGAGGTGGTCTTCCTTCACTTTTTACCCTCAAAGATTTAGAACGAAAGTTTGGTTTTACTTCTTTGCGTCCGTTTCGTTCGTTAACTGGTTGCGTAGTGTGCTCAGGAAGTGGATCGCATGTAGATAACGGCTCATTAACAGGCTGCATATATAAGCCCAAATCTTCCGCTTCGCAATCCGCGTGGTTTTGTTCTCCATTCCTGGATTTGATTGGAGTTAAATCTAAAGTTGCCATAGAATTTATTATTTGATACATATCGTTGCTGAACCCACGTACAGTACCATTCTGCTTAATCTCTCCGTTGAGAGAGGTACGTTCTTTTTTGGGTTCTTTTTGCAGCTGCTTCATTTTGTCGCTATCAGTGTCATTATTTTGTTGATTTACTCTTGAATAGTATTCATAGTATGATTCCGATGATGGGTCTAAAGGTACTGGACCAGGATCGGGCAGCGGGTAGTAATTTTTCTTTGAATCGACTTTTCTTTGTCTATGCGCATACTTTAGAGAATCTTTTCTTTGCGGAGGCATTGGAGGTGGTTTACTATTGGAACCAAATGATTCGATATCCCATTCTGTGAAATTTCTCCGTTTAATTCTTCGTAGCGTTGAAGGTCTATATCCGTTTGGCATGTCTTTAAAACTATAGCTATGCTTCAACTTATTTTGACTAATGAGATTATTATTTGCTCTAGCCTTTTCTTCTATGTTTTGTTGATATTTTGCTAATTGAGATATGTTTTCATTAGGAACGTTATTAGGATAATGGTAGCCGTTGTCTTTGGGAGAATAAATTTTGTTTTCATTATCTCGATCGTTAATACGATCTACATCTCTGCATGATTTACTTCTAGATATCGAGTTAAACTTGACCTTATTAGACCTATTATCAGTTTCATTAAATGTAGTGAGATTCTTTGCCCCAACCCAATTTGCAGCGTAAACAAGATCCATAGTCCTGTCGTTGATAGAAAGCCACGGGTCCTCCATGACGGCTTTTCCTGGATAGTGTTTTATTTTCATATTGTCAGGTATGTTATCAATATCTCTTCACTTTTACATTTGCAAAACCATACATTCGAGCATTTTTTAATAACATCAGGTACATGTTGTACTAATTCCATTTTGTCTTTCATCATTTAAGTGTTTTTAGTAAACATCAAACACTCATTGTTGTACTAAAGAGAAAAAAGATATCAATATCAATCACCTGGATCAATTTTAACCCTGTATTCTACAACACGTTCTGCTCATTAGTAAGCGTTCGTAAATTAATTGCATATACTGTATTATTTCTCAATGCTCCTTTGTATGTTGTTGCGATAGAAATAGCATTCGACCTATTAAAACTGCAACAATGGAATGATTTTGTAACAAGTTCACTTCCCTGCATTTAAATGTGGCTAGTTCTACAAATCAAAAATATATTCACTGTATTAATTCAAGAACTCGTAAGGTGTCTATTATAATAACGCCAAGACAAGAGAAAAATGTTATGAAAACTGACATATCTTGCATAATAACTATTATCGTTAAAACAATCATAGGTTATTTAATAAACCATCTGAACCACAAACTAATAATAATCTATTCTTGACTGCTTGTACAACGACAAATAACGATGTGTTAAGATACATTACGACAAATGTAATAATGCAACCACATAGGATTGCGCAAAACGACGACAAGTTGGAAACGACATCAATTTGGTGGACAAAATCATTAATGTTGAATTAAAAGGCCGAAAGCAAGAAACACGCCCGACGCATCCGTCACGGGATACAATCACCCTATTGCACAAGACAAGCCTAATCCGTGCCCACAAGGAAACTCTTAACTAGGCCTCGTGAGTCCATCGCTAGAATGCAAATGGTGTCGTCTTACGTAACAATTAGATAATGGGACTGAGTAACGTTGTACAGTAGCTAGTTTTAACAACTTTTATTGTTATTATCATTATAGCACTTTCACTATGCTGGACTGTACCGTATAATGCGCTTGATGCGTATAGAGATATAAAAATGAAAGCAACTACTTTTAACTAGTTTTATAGAAACAGTCACAAGGAACGAATAAATTAAGCTTATGAGGTTGGCGATACGACGATTAGAAGATTGCGGGTCAGAGACGAGCATAAAGTAGGTGGAAAGCCAATTATGGAACTTGTCTCAGATAGTCCATGGAAAATTTTCTCATGTAAACGCTTACTTTTTTTTATGAGTCGAAGTTATTTACTACATTCCTATCATATCGTCGATTTTGCGAATTCCCATGTGGAAAAACACCAATAATTAACAAATAAAAAACTTTAAAAACTGATATAAAACAGCTTTTCTCCCCTATATTTTTCCAGTAATTAAATATAATACAATAATATAAACTAAATGTAAGCATAACAATGTACCTATTCAGTGATTATAGTAAAAAATTAGTATCAATTACTGAACACATGATCGATCTAGTAGGAAACGATTTCTAGGCAAGAGCCAATGGACGGGTTGAAACCAGTTCATTGGTCCACATATCCAGCCGACTGGTCAACGATGATGCGTGAGAATAGGATCCAAGAACTTGAGAAATCACCACTGAATGCCTTATTTATTGTACTTTCTTGAAAAAAAAACTGCAACTCAACATCAGTAACGAGTATAATTTAGGCTTCTTTTAATGAAGCAAAGACAATACAGTGTAGTTTGGGGAGTGTCTGATTATCTCGTTTCATAAAAAAAAACGTACTACAGTAAAACAGAAAAATAATTGACTTAAAAAAAGAAAGAAAACAATACAACTTCCAACAAATGTGATCTAAACAATAATAGTATCACAATAACGCAACAGAAGACAGCCACATTGATATTAAAATGTACGTGGCGTAGTATATGCATGACGATTTTATAAAACAATTGTGATCAAAAGATACAATGCAGAAAAACATTAACAGCAAATGTTACACGAAAAGCAACTTTGCTGGGTTGTTGTCATAAACAAACCATCGTTAAAAAACAATTAAGGTTTGTACAATACAGATTCAAACCTCGGTAACACCAATTCAATGGTAAGTGTTGGTTCACCTCTCATAAACAGTATGGAAGACTTTGCCAAAGAGTTATTTTAAGTCAGTCTACTTAAACAGGGCAGTAAGGATTATTTAGAGCTGTAACGGTAAGTTACTGGAACCAAACAATGGCATCCATTTCTATTATTACAGTGACATCGGTATCTATGAGTATGAACCGAATTTCTATGGATTCATTATTTAAACAACAGCATACCATGCTTTGTGAAAGGTTGACTCAATTAGTTTATCACATTTCTACAATTATCCGTGACTATACATAATATGTCTTTGTGGCAAATTATGGCTCAACAACAACATCAACAACATTCCTATTATCAATATTATTAGTTGGGTATGTTGAAACAATTTATGAACAATAATAATTTCACTTCATTGTTTTGTCATAACAATAGTTGTGGCATATGAAAAATGCAAACTTTCTATGGTCTGATGATTCTTCTAATAGTTTAGACTGATATATTGATAAAAATGACGCAATGATTGTTGCGCGCCATTTTGTTAAATGCACAACTGAAGCTAAAGGTCATTAAATAAAAATTATATTATCTATGCAATTATCTATACAACTTTCTATTCTATGTCTGATTGAAAACCAAAACGTGACACGATCCATATGATCGTCCACAGTAGATTGACGTCTAGTCGATAAACAAAGCAAAGTGCCTGCAATCTTGATTTAATTAAGACCGTCGAAGCGCGAGTACTAATGCAATAGAACGAATCATTATTAACGATTATCGTATTTCCTTTGACGGATTTAGGTGTGTACACGGAAAAAAACCGTAGAGTAAAATGGATAACAATGACGATTGGAGATGCATAGAGGTGATAATCCAAACAAGAGATTCTGCGGTTGCAGATATAGAAAGCTCTTGTGTAGTACATTAATATGCAATATATTTTCACGGTGAAGACCGCGACACTTTCACGACACATACGAGTAGCGCACGCGAACACGGGTGGCTTGCAATAACCTTGTGGTGCTTGAAAGTCTTCTATACTACCACTTTCGGTTTAGTTATGAAAATAAAGACGCACACAAGGCAAAGGTGAGAGGCATAACCTTTCTTGATTAAGTTTGGAACGAGAGCACTATTTATTTTAAGCAAAAGTCAATGCACGTTTAAAACAGCTTAATACAAAACAAAGATAATAAAAACGTGTTGTAGCATAAAGCGGATATAAGTGATCCAGTTCTGCCGTAATCATGATCGACACAACGAATCCTTTGAAGTTTTAGATAGACTTCCGTAAAAAACATCACGGTTTAACACCTTTACACAAAATCACTTTACCATCACATAAAAACAACTTTATCAATATTTCATATTAACTTATGTGAAGAAACAAAAACTTTTAACTAAGTACAAATCATTGTTTCGGTCACAGTAAAGTCGATCGCGACTATTTAAAATTCAGAACGCGACGCATCGACGACGCGGCGACCAATCACGTCAACGCCGCTCCGCTTACTGCTCTACTCATTCTCAGACTAAGAGCGACTCTTGCGCATAAACTTAAAATGAGTGCGAGCGAGAGCTACGTAGTTTCGATAGAGATAAATAATGTACCTGGATATTCTGAAAAGCTCGTAGCTCATATCACAAAAGGTGCAAAGGACATTGACGTTTATATTTCGAAGATACCAGAGGTGGAGAGAGTTAGAATTAGAAATACGGTAGGGTAACAATAATAATAGCTTTAATTCTACAATAAGTCGCATGCGTTAATATGAAGAAACAGCATGTGAGTTAATATTTGAACAAATAAAATAGTCAATTGTGAAAAATTTTAAGATGTTTCTTAGTTGTTAACAATATGCGACTAATGAATTGTTTCAACGTGGAGTCATATGTAGTGTGAAATACGTCAATTAAGCACTTGTTGAAATAATATGATTCGAAAGAAAAATGTACGAAACTCGAACGGATGCTAAAAGTGGAGCGACAATTTTGTAGAATGTAATTAGCGAAGGTGAAGTTAAAACTGGTGAATCGATGCAAAGCATAGCCGTGACCGGCGAGCTACCAAATGTATACACTCGAAGGTCGAACAAAACCTTCTAATAGCCGGAACAGTCACTGATCCATGTTTTAATTTATTTATTGATGTTGAATTATTATTTATTACTTACCTTTCTGTCTATAAAGAGAATAGCACTGTCATCTTTACTGACTATTTAGTAGAAAAATTTATAACAAATCGTTTTAAGAGATTTATCTATTTAAGAGATTAAATCAAATCTACCTTACGATATTACATTTTTATGAGAAAAGGATGGAAATTACTATTGAAAAAGATTAAATTATAAGAAAAAAGTGAATGCAAGAATAACCGCACCTGCGTAAAAAAGCCCAACAAAGAATCAAAGTGAAAACAGAAAATACTTAATAATTCTAATCGAAAGTTATAGAAAATCAACAGAAAGTGTTAACAGAACCATAGGAACATTAGCAAGGAAAATTTTGAAGTGCCTTTTAGTTACTGCAGAATTCAGTGGTGCGTTAAAAACCACGCAGTTACAATGCTGCAAATTGCCGAAGTAGTTAAGGAATAGAAATTTCACGGATGGATTACCAAAGGCACATTTACAAACGCAACTATGAAATCTCAAAAATACATATTGCACGCATGGATTGGCCTTGAATCCGATGCGGGTTCTGAGTTAATAAATTTTAGTTATTTTACCATTACATTATGAATGCAAGGATGTGAAACTTGATTGCCAATGATGTTACAATTAAAATCCGAAGATGTTTGGTGTTTTCAAATTTAATTACTTTAACTCACGTTCGTTAGGAATTTGAAATAACACATGAGTGTATACTTTGCTGGTACTTTTAGTAACACATTGAATATTTATGATTTATTTATTATTGAAGTTATCAACAATTGTTTCATAGCTCTGCCCTCCTCATCGTAACTAACGTAAACGTCATTTTTAGTTGAATTGAGTTATTAACACATCTAGGATCATCAAAACGAGATCTGCAACCCCCTCTAATAGGTTTTTTAACCGTCTTAAAAAAAGGAGGAGGTTATACGTTCGGCTCTATGTATGTTTTCAGATATCTCCATCAATTATGGACCGATTTTGAA